CTCTTTGAGCCTTAACTCATCATCTACTAAATGTGGTTTTATTAGTGCCTACCTAAGAGCGTTTCTTCTTAGCATATGAGAAGCACTTGATAAGCATGCAGTGTTCCTTAGCATGGTGTTGTGACCACACCCACTCTCCAGCTCATCTCCAAACTCTTCCTGAAAACTGATCACTGCCATAGGGATCCCAGTGGTGTTATTGTATAAAGAACAGGGGGCTAAACATTTTTGCTGGATCTCCCTTTAAATAGCCTTTGGGATTCGGAGAACAAGGTTCACCTGGCCTTAGTGAGATGCCTAGCGGCTTTCCTGGCCCCACCTCCTTTCTTCTTTATTCTGAGGTATTCATCCTGGATAAGTAAGAATTTGGTCCCTTTTCCTGGCATGATTTTTTTGTAACTCAGGACAACCAAACTGAATGAGGCACAGAGCCTGAGCCAGATGTAACAGGCTCTTGAATGTTCCTGCAAAGCTTCATTCAGCTAGCTTATTTGTAGTTTTAAGAGGTTCACCTAATGTATGGTCTCAGGGTTCCGATCAGAAGAAAGAACTGACTTAGAGCTCATCTCCTGTGGCCACTTCCGCCACCTTGCACCTGCTGAACTTGGAGCTTTGGCTACGTCAGCTCTGGAGAGTCATCGCAGGTTGATTCTGCACCTCCCGCTGTGGGAGGCAATAATACTAACACAGGAATGGTCCATACATCTCCCCATGTTCTTACGTGTAGCAGATCTTCTTGTGTGGGATGCCCTTCTGTATGCTATGAATAAGTTTTATTACCATTGGTTAATAAAGAAGCCAATTTAGCTAATAGCCAGGCAGAATAGAGTCAGGTGGGAAATCTAAACAGAGGGAAGGCAGAGTCAGGGAGATACCAGCAGCCGCTAGAGAAGCAAGGTGTGAGGTAACAATCCACGAGCCTTGTAGTAAAATATAGACTAATTGAAATGGGTTAATTTAAGTTATAAGAGCTAGTTAATAATAAGCCTGAACTAATAGGTCAAACAGTTTGTAATTAATATTAAGGTGGGTGGGAGAAATACCTCCAGTTACAATCTTCTATCATGTTTCCACCATTCTAAAACTTGGGGCAGGAACAGCTTGTCTGCATACAGAGTGATGGATGCTGTTATAGTGTGCTATAGACTAACGTGTGTCAACTGGAGTCCCTAATTGTTTTCTTATAACCTAAGTATGTTATCAAAAATAAGATGAGCCCTTTAAACTTCTTCTTGGAGCCTTCCAGCCCAAACAGACTTTGGAGAAAATAATGAACATTACAGTCTGACATGGTTACAATTTTCACAGTTTTCTAAGTGCAAAAAGTTGATAATTTTATCAAAGGTTTCTGTGTTTAGAAAGTATCTTTTGGTCTGGTATCCCAGGGATTTACCTGTGTGGGCTTTCTTATTCTTAAACTACTTCCAGACATCAACCTGTCAAACGTGTGGTCACTGCCCTTGCTTTCCAAGTGAGAGACTGGGTGTTAGGATTTCAACTACATGCTCCAGAGGGGGGAGGGTGACTGGTCAGGAGGTAACTCAGATCTAAGGTGGCCACCTGGCTTCAGGATTTGTCATTTAAATCTCTTCTGTGTCCTGGGCACTCCCACGAGAGGCTTTGTCTTTGTCTTTGCAGCAGTCTAAGGAGCCTGATGTTTTACCAAGTTTCCACTTGAGAAAAGGGGACTCTAAGAAGTAAAATGATGGGACCCAAGTTTAACTTTTGTTCTTGACTGAGTAAACCCACGGATAAATACACATGTGCCCCTCTGCTAGTCTTTTCCTCTGCAGCACCAGCGTCCTGGCAGCAAAGGCTCAGACCCAAGTTTGCAGCTCAGGGGAAAAAAGGGAAGAAACAGGTTTTCTTTAGAGACCTTAAAGGGTCAAAGTGTGAATTCTTAGTCAGTAGATCAAAGGAATCACGGAGTAAGGGTGTCTCCTTGTGTCCCCACTGCCCTTCAAGTTGGTATACTAGGATAACAATTCTGCTAGCTCTAGAAGGCTGGCTGTATTTACGCTGTGAATGAGTATATAGTATTTACATATTTACCTCATTCAGCCCAGCCTGGCAGCCTCACAAATCACAAGCCAGATTTCTGCTCTTGGAGCCTCTACCACTGGGCAAGACAAGCTTGAATTCTGCTAGCTTAGTTGCTGTCACGCCTTTGCTGTGACCTGCTCCCAGCCTGTCACTTTTATACATGTATTGGATCAAGATGGATGATATTTACATCATTTTAATAAATATTAATAATCACCTTAATCTCAGTAAACTTTTCACATGAGACCTTCAAGACACTACCTGATCATCTAAGTCCCCAGAGAGAAGCAATCACTTTGCAAAGCTGTGAGAATTTCTCTGGCATACTGGACCTCATCTGGGCAGGATCTGTGTGGCTAAGATCTGGGGAGAGCAAGCAGGTGCTTTACATAGGTGAATGGTGAAGAGAATGCACAATCCCACTCCGGTATTGAAATATTGTCCCCCTGAATCCAGTTCTAATTTATTTGCCATCTGTCCACCATTACTTTTGAAGTCAGATTTTTAAAATATTAGTAATAATGCCCAAAGCCAGTGTCTATTAAATGCTTATTGTATGCCAAACAATGAACTCCAGTGTGACATTGCTTTGTCCCCTCCACATAAAGACACCATTCTTTCCATGCCTTCCAGGAGAGCAACCAGTCTCAGAGGGACTCCTTGTCTAAAGTCACATAACCACTAACTGACATGGGCACATCAAACTGGTTTGTTTGCATCTAATTTAATGTCAAATAGACTCACTAGTATCATTCTGTGAACAGTAAAATGGTTTGGGTAAAATTATATAGTTAGGAGAAAATTAGGGCATGGAACTATGATAAAGAGGAGAAGAAGGAGACTGTTTTTTAAAAGTTGAGTGACTGGGGAGCCTATAAAGTGATTTTGAGCATCCCTTCTAGACCATCGGATGAGGCTGAATGGGCATCTCATTCGTGAGGCATTAGAGCTAGAAGCTTATTTTACACAGGAGGAAAGCAAGGAACAGAGAAGAAAGTAGCTTGTTCAAGGTTATAATAATCATAAACATTTTCATTATTTCCTCGGAGATTTGTTACTTCTTATTTCTTCACAACATATTTGGGGATATATTCAGACCAAATCTTAAGCGAAATACAGCATTTTACTGTGGTTCATTTCTATCTGTGAACATCACTGCTCAGTGGTACTCAGCACAGAGTCTGTCCTAGAAGATGGAACCCCAGAAAACTGACAATTTAGCACAACCGTGTGAGCCTGTTATTCTCCAGAATCATCAAATCCTTCCAGTTCCCAAATCCAAAACGCGAATGTGCTATTCTTGGGAGTAGGGCTGTTCCATTCGGTTTAGATGCTGTGTCTATGGCTCATGTGCCTCAGGAGGACTTATTCAGTATAGGGGCTAGCTGTGCATACGCTGTACCATCTATGAGCCGTGAACTGCACATGGGTCTTCACTGATGAAGACCACATGCTGTCTCCATTGTCTTAAGTGCCTCAGAGTCACCCTCTACGTGTTCAGTGATTGAATGCTGCAGATGAGCGAATGTAAAAATCCAGCTGTTTTTCTCATCAGCGGAGCAGCGTAAAGCAAGGCTCACCATTAACTGCAGCATGAACTCGACAAAGAGGATGTCAATCCCGCATCACTATTAGTGTTCCAGGCACAGAACTGACTGAAGTCTAGGGTAATTGTGTTGAAACACATGTATACTTTTGCAGAGTCAGGCGGTCCTGCCTCTATTTGTCACCCAGGAAATAGTCAATGATCGGAACGACCTCCTGCACTACTGCTATTCTTAGAAAAAGCAGTGACATAAGGCAACAGAAAGATGGGCTAGAAAATCCTATCAATAGCATTGGAAAGGTTTTCAATACGCTTTCAATTAAGCCTGTGCTTTCCCACGAACACAAAATTTGCATCCATGATGTTCTTGTGAAGGCTCCACCCACAGATAGCGCGTTGGAGATCGGCTCCTCCTTCACTTTTTCCCTATTCGACATTGACTGTTTATTGCGCTACTCCCCTAAGAGATAGACATGGGGAAGGTGTCATAAACTCACAGTCTCATAAACCCAGGTCTCATAAACTCACAGTGGCATTATTTAACTGGGCTGAGTCAACTGGCTCTCAACTCACAGGACCAGGACTCAACTTCCCTTCTGGTTTCACTTGCTGTGTGACACTGAAGCCAGGCCCTTAACTTCTCAAGTTTGTGTGGCATAAAATGGGAAGTATGGTAAATGGCAATCACCTTTATCATGACAAGGTCTTGGGTGGGTTAAACGAGATCGTACGAGTACCTAGTAGAAAATGTAGAAATCACCACAAAAGATTATCTACTGAACATCATACAAACTTAAACAATACCTATGGAGGCAGTGAAATGAAGATACTAGGAATGTATTTTTTTTTTAAAGAAAAAATGGGTGTGGGTGGAATTTGGGCAGCAGATATTAGAACTAGATCCAAAGATGACTCCATATTTTGGTATGAGAGACTAGGGAGAGGAATGAGCATCCTTACAGAAGAGGATGGTATACCCAGCCTCCGGCGTATAGAGCTGTGGCTCTAAAAAGGAAGTCCATTTGTAGGGACAATCTGGCATCCAGAAGAGGATATTAAAGTCACAAAGAGAATCCACAAAATTATTTTATGTGTAGAAACCAATCCAGTGAATCCAATTTTTTTTTTGTGCTGTTGATACTAAAGGTGATGACACCGAAGAGAATACGTGAACCTTCTAGAATATCAGCCAAACCAATAAAATAAATCCCATTTTGATGAATGGAACACTCCCTTGTAAAGCCCAGTACAACTCAGAGGCTATGATTCTCCCGTGAACTTGCCTTTGGATGGCATTACACCTGGGTCCTAAACCGTGGAATGAATCTTGACCTAAACCACACAACCCCAGCATGCAGTGAGGATGCACTATGTCAAAACAAAGCCAAGTAAAGACACTATCTACATTTACCTACTCTGATCCCAATTGGCAGCAAACAGCAGGAGAATCTTCCTGCCGTAGTGGTCACGGTTTTCCAGCACTCCGGGGAACCCATCAATCAATGCCCTCTTAATGCCGGGATCATCTGCCTTGAAGTTTTTGAACATGTCCAGGTTTAGCTGGCGGTACTGAAAGTACTGGGCCAGGAGTCTGAAGGCATCGGCTTGGTGAAACTTCCTGGCTCGGAGAAAACGCAGGATGAAGGCATCATCTGTACGTAAAAACCCAATGTCAGGCCTGGTGATGATCATGTCTCTGACTTGTTGAATGTCCTGATGTAAAACGTCCGGGTTCTCATTCAGTTCCAGGCGGGCTTTCTCTATCGTGTCTGGACTGAGCCCGGCCTGCAAGTGCGTCATCTTGGCCAAATCTCCTTCCCAAGTGCTTAAGCTCTGAGGTTTGGGAAGAACAGAAACTGGTCCCATTCACGGGAAAGCGCGCTGACTCCGTGGCCCATTCAATGGTTCTCCTACAAGACTGCCCCCAAAACAGACAAGCAGAGAGGCTTCTTCCGGTCCTTGGGAAACAGCCGGACATTCAGACCCTATGTGGTGATGGTCATCCAAACCAGAATGAAAACCGAGGTCATGGCTTACTGAAAAACAAATGCACACAAGAGAAACAAGAGAGAGATGATGCAGAGAAATTAGGCGCAAATGAATGGGACCCTAGCTAGAAAACAGCACATATACAAATCATCAGTACTGATGAGTGCATATCCTGTAACTAAACTGTGTATGATGCTTTAGTTAGGGCATCTGCCCTTATTAGCAACAACTTAAATATTTGATATGCAAATATTTGAAATACATTCACAAAAAATTTAGTTATAGTGAGTGACCCCTTAAGATAATTCCCTTTGGTCAAAGTATCAATGGAGTATTATTTTATTAATGAAAGGTTTTGTTGTGGTGGTTGTTGCTAAAACATGCTTTATGGGACTGTTCACAGGCCTAGGTAGGACAGGCATGGCTGCTGTACAATTGATTGTTTCCCATTCTCCTCGTTTCTTAAACAGAAGTGTCTCAGACAGAAATCTGCCCCTCACGTCTTTTAAAAGCAGCCATTCACAACTTACAGTACTATGATAATGCTAAAGGTCACTCTAACCTGACCTCAAGGTACCTAATTAATGGTAAGAGTACTGTTGCAGTGGGGTGGGTTGTGGCAGACACACCCAGGGCTGGAAGGCTGACCTTCAACAGGCTGGTGGTCCTGGATTCTATAAGAAATCAGTTTGAGAAAACCATTAGAAGCACACCAGTAAGCAGCACCCTTCCATGGCCTCTGCATCAGCTTCTGCCTCCAAGTTTCTTTGAGTTCCTGCCTTGGTTTCCCTCAATGGACTGTGAGTCAGGATAAGTGAACTAAATAAACCCTTTCCTCCCCAAGTTGCTTTTGGCCTTGGTGTTTCATCATAGCAATAGTAACTCTAGCTAAGACAGACACTAATAACGATGAATAAACCCAAACTGGAAGAGTACCAAGCAGTCCAGGCAGATAGTCACCTAGCACTGAATGGCATTCAATGTTACTGTATCCAAAAGACAATTTTCAGTTTCCAGTCTAGGTGACATCTATCAGTATTTGGCACCGGCTGTTTCCTCCTTAGAGCATCTTCTCCTTCCCTCATTCCATTCTCTGCCCATATGCCCTGGTCATGCCCTGACCTCCCCTGCCCCTTCCCCAGCTCATTGCCCATCACTGCTCATTCCTCTCCCTCTGTGCAAGCCAATGCTAGAATTTTCAGGATCCTGCCCCATAATCTGTCCACCTGCATTCAAATAGCTTCAATTCCTAGCGTTCCCTGGATCTCCAGGCTCCTCTCTCAGTTGGCCATGCAGCATCTCTCCGCAGATGCCCTACAGGTGCTATAAACACATTATGTTCACAACTGAACTAATAGTTCTCCATCCTGAATTTGATCCTCCAGCTCCATCTCTTAGTGAATGACATCATCTTCCAGGCAGATTCACATACTGGAAATCTAAGAATCAACTCTTACTCTACCCTCTCCTTCACCATCCCTGACACACTTTTTAAATAGCTCTCAAATCTGCCCATCTTTCCAGCACTATGATTGCCGATATAATTGAGACCATCCCTACTCGTGTTTAGAATGGAAACAGGTTTTCTGCCGCAGCCTCTCCTGCCAATCTATGAATTCTCTATATTCCCATTATTCTCGGTATTACAATGAAGATGCACTCCTATCACATGATGATCAACATTCATTTTTAGCTCCTAACTCCTCATCATTCTTCAGAACTCAATCTGAAAGTCACTTTCCCCAGGAAACCCTCCCCGGCCTCAGAAGTCAGAAATCAAGTGATCCACACACACTTAACCGCACCGTGTTATATCAACAGTTACTACCCCCTTCTATTTAGAATCTCCTAAAAATGGAGGTGTCTGATGTTTATCTGTGAATCCTCGGTATGCAGAATAAAGAGGCTCAGCTCTGCGGGCAAAGAATTTCACTGTGACCACTGACATTTTCTCAATGCCTAGGACATGGCACATGAGGCAGCAGATGCTACCAGTTACACAAAGCATCAATGAAAACAACAGTCAAAATACTGTTTTGACAAGTCAGTGCATCCCCCATGTCTGGGGCAGGCTAATTTTCCTTAAATAAAGCCTTGTAACTAACTTTTAATGTCCTCCCTTATCTACAAAGAATTCCCCTGCCCCCAGAGAATCTCCCCTAGGCACATTGTATTTCAGATCCTGGTCTCACTGAAGCATTCTGGGTAATGTTCACAGTTCCAAGCCAAGAAACACAATGCTAAGATCACAAAGCATAGCGACAGCTTGCTCCCTGAAGAAGATTTAAAGCTGCTTTGGAGCAAGTTACTTACCTCACAGTTCAGGGAGCTCAACCATGTTTTCCAGATAAATGACTATGGGTTCAAGGGGAGAATTGAAGTCGCATTTTTCATGCCCTGCCTCCATACATAGCTATGCCTCCAAACCATAATATCCGAAATAAATTCGCTCCAATCTTCATCTTTATTCTGTGTTCAGCATGCAATAGAAGCTTCTGGTGAGAATAATCCAGTCAGGGTCATTGGATTGCATGCTTAAGATGAAATATATATTTCATTAAACGTAAATCCTTCCTACCAGAGCCCAAACAGCCTGCTATTTAAATAACACCAATCAATGCTAGTTAAGGTACAAGAAAAGCTGTACGGAGAATGTTTATCACAACGTAGCATTTTCAATCAGCCACAAGCTTTAGTTGCCACTCGACTTTACTGGATTATGAATAGATTACACCGGCCATGATGTCCTCCTCATGAGTGAGAGTGGTTTCTCTTCCTGATGTTATTCATGAAAATGATAATAGCTACGATTCATTATTTACCATAGATCTGTTTATTATGTCCTAGACACTCACAGATTCTTTTCATAGACTACAATACTCCTTAGAACAACTATATGGAATGAGTGGAAACTGAGATGCAAAAAAATTAAATTACTTGCCAAGAGGCAGGCACTGGATGGCAGTCCAAATAATCACTCTGTACTATGGTCTTCATTCACCTATTGATTTGCCTCTTCTGTGTAGCAGGGGTCTCAGTATTTGCAACTTTACATCTGTATGACATTCTTGTCAAAACTCCAGACCCTCAGCCTCCTTCCCTCACTTCTCTCTCATACTAACTCTCCTATGAGTCCAGATCTGCCTCTGGGTTGCCAGGTTTTTTTAGACAGTCTAGAGCTACACCCTACAGATAGGTGCTCACTACCTTCATCCTCCTTTGTTTTCATTCGGTGATGACTGGGGCTGTTTAAAACGTAGTTGGCTGTGCTTTTCCAGCTGGTGCTTCTTTTGCTCTTCTTGGTAATGTTTTCCTTTGCCAACAATTCAAAGACCCTGCCCATGTCTCGGAAAGACCCACCCTTTTTGCCATGCCTCACAGAACATCAATCAAGGCATCAGCAGAGAGGTCTGCCCACCAACCAGAGGGAGTTTTAGGAGGGTACAGAAAGCTGCTCTGCCCAGTGCTGGGCGGGGTGGGGGGGGTGTCGCTCACGGCTTTGTCTTCTAAAGCAGAAGCATCTCTTGGAAGGCCAGGATGGAGAATGCCTGCACGTATAACCCATGCATTTTTCTAATAAACTACAACTTTGAGTTGCTTGTTGCTTAAGTTCTTGACATCCCTAGGTTCCCAGTATTCATTTAACTCAAATAAGACAAAGAATAGATCTATGTACCTATTTACCCATAAATAATTCAGTCTTAAGGAAGTATATTTATAAACGTATACCATTTTTTTAATCTTTATGGAGAGTAACGAAGAAGTCCTTTAAGGAGGCAGAGTTTTTCAAGTGAGATCAGTTCTCTTATTTATTATTTTAATCTATTTATCATCGTCTTCAGAAACTCATACTCAGTATGGGGGAGGGGGAGATCAGAACAATTGTAGCGATGTCCTCCCTAAAAATATATGATCCATTTCAAAGCATCTTTCATCCATTATCTTTTGCTTCGTTACAATGATCCTTCAATGTGTAGAAGAAAGATAATTTCCTGCGAAATGCGAAGGTAAAATCATGAGGAATAAGACAAGCGAGGGTGCTTGGGAAATGAAAAGAGCTCTTCCATTAGCTGTAATATTCTTGTTAATATCATAATTATGTTGTCTCCAGATACATAAAAGAAACTGAGATGCATGCTAGCTGCCAGGCTGGCTTAAAGTCAAATAATGAGCTCGGCGTGGCATTGGGAAAGAAACAAATATCTGTGAGGGCTTGTTCATGTGCCAAGGGCTTTAACATTATATTATCTAATTTCTGGTCAGTCTTTACAGATAGGTTGTTAGTTATTAGGTGAAAGGGGAGATTGAGAGCTTAGACTAAAATATGGCAAAAAGGACAAACATTCATACCTCAAATTACCTCTCTATGTTTTGTTCATGGCTACTTTTTATTTGTGGAGAGGAGCCATCTTGAGCAACACAATCTTGTTAGCGGCATCGTAGCTCACTCACTCAGGAACTCACATCAGGCATCGAATTTGGAGAGGGGAGGGAATAACTGTTGTCACGACCAGAAAGATAAAGTCTATAAATCCTCACTAGGCAGAATGACTAAACTTGTAATCACAAGATTCTGGAGGATAAGGCAGGGGGATTATGAATTTGAGGCCAGCGTGGTATACAAAATTAGATCCTGTCTCAACAACAACAAAACCCTACAAGAACTTAATATTGTTTGAAATATATGAACATAAATCACTAGTAAATAAGACTACAGATCAGTGTAACTTCTGTGTGAATTTCACATAAATAATAATATAAACATAAAATGGAAAACTCATGTTTATTTTGTGAGCTCTCTTTTTTTACAAAAGGGTGAAAAATGAATCTTCATGATAAACCCTACCTATAAAAGTCTAATCCAGTATACTATTCACTAGTAGAAATGAAAATTTTTACAAATTTTTAACCTATGTTCTCTAAAACCTCATTCTAAATATTTAAACTGCATATATATATATATATATATATATTCACCTAAAAATGTTAACGAGAATTTTAATTTGTTTCCTTTGTCTTTGAGTTATTTATTGCTTTTTTTCAAAGG